TGGTGTGTTACTTGTGCCAGATGAGTATATCAAGATACAGAATGCAAAAGTTTAATAGTATCCATTACACAACTTCTTTCTGTCTTCCATCAACTTGGTTGTTGTGTAGATAGTCTACTGTTGTAGGACTTGACTTTCTCATAACAGTGGTTATGAAGAGTTTTATCTTCTGGAATATGATGCCATGTAGTCCATTGAAATGCAACTGATCTGCTTACTACCTGCTTAATGCTGGTTTCTTGCTTGGCTTATTCTTTGACCCTGAAGATAGAGGTGACATGTTCTTCCAAAATATCGACTTCCAGCAGATTACACGGTGTTATATCCCAGGAGGTATGACTCTTCTTTGTCTGCTCTTAGCTGTTGTGCTGTTAATATTATTTAGCATTATGTATGTCTGGAAACTTCCTTCTTATTCCATACTAATATGGTAGTGTTGCTTGGCAGGAGTGCTATGTGTCATTGTTAACTCGCAGGAAGTTGGGCCTCTCATATAATGCATTTAAATGATGGCACCAGTATTCAGACTAGAGGCATACTAACTATGTGCTGTACCCCTCTCTGTAAACATCAGAGCTCCCTGCTTGAATAGGTATTTTGAGTGTGCATTGTGATCCCAAGCCTGTAGCAAACAATGTTTTAGATAGCTAGCATAGATTTTTCATTTCCTTGCCTTTCATTTTGACATGCTGTCCACATATGTTGCCAAAGATTTATGCAACTTGGGTTTTACATGCAGCAGCAACAACTTTATTATCACTGAAACACTGTGGACATGAGTAAAAATCTCACTGGCTTCAAGTTTATGTAACAGTGTGAAGCCTAACCCAGGATTTTCAGATTGGCATACCGAATCATTACATCTCTTGTTAGGTAGTTCAGATTTATAGTCAGTAACCTCATCTGAGCTGTAGAGATGTTCTACTCTCAAACCTAAGAAAGTTCATTGGATTTTCATGAGTAAGGGCTCCTTTCCCATGACAGAGTTCAGCTTCTTGATTAGGGATAAGTGGATGTAAAGATTATGAAGAAAACTAAATCTCCTCATTATAACTGAGTTTAATTTCATAAACATTTTCTTCGCCTGTTTGCAAATGTTGCAGATTATTTTGTTTCTGTCACTGGGAATTAGGTATTGAGTATCAGAATATTGGCCACTTTCTGTATTTTTGTTTTGCTCTGAATCGGCAGAGGCAGATATGTGTGCAGTGCAATCGTTCTAAGAAGTTCCCTTGCTTTCTCAACTGTGAGATTTGTTTTAAGGTAAGTGTAGTGGCTCCTTAAGGCAGAAGCTGGCCAGTCAAAGAGAAGACACTGTCTTCAGTAATATGGATAGTATGTATGAGTTGCTGTATACGTGTTTAAGAGCATTAAATTGCTACTTCCATTGTGTGTCTTTGTGTACACCTTGTACCAAACCTGAATGGTTAACACATATCTGTTTACCTTGGTTTTGGAGCAGAAAATGCAGAATTTAACAGGACCACTTGGTTCAGAATTACATTTTATCAGCACTCATGTTTAGTGACCCTGTCTGACTCAGCTAGTAAAATGGCAGTGGGTCTTCAGATGACATCGCCATCTCACATCATGTAGTACATGTAATAATCAGGAAACGTAATAATTGCTAGAATATCTGAACATGTTTATTTGCAATAAAAATATTCATGACTTCATATGAAATTAGAATTTAAGGAGAGTGAACATGCACATTTAAAAATTATGCTTTAGTTTGTTCCTATTAGTTATTAGCCGTCTCACATGCAACTATCTTTTTAATTGACCTTTAAAATCTCTGTGTCACTGGTGTATGCACACTGCATGTTTGAACCAACATTGGTCATCTGCAGGTGTCTCAAAAGTTGCTGATTATACTGCTGTGCTTCCATCCCTAAGTTCAAATTTTGAGGTATGTGTTCATGTATCCCTTGTTCATAACAGCTATGCCACACAGTAAGAGGAACCACCTATCACCATAGGAGCTATGTATGTTGGGAGGGAAATTGTAAGCCAAGAAGTCTGCTCCCATAGGTTCTGTCTGTGAAATAGGATAACCACTGGGATACACGATAAGAACAACTACCTCAGGCTGTGAAACAGGCTGCTTTGGCAAGTTGCAGACATGGGAACATGAGGGAGAAGTTAAAAGGGAGGTGACTGCATTTGAGTTCCATCCAAATAATAGAAACAGCAAGGATGGCACTCTTCTGCTTCCTGCAAGATCATAGGAAGCCTGTCCTACAAGACTCCAAAGATGGGTTCCACTAGGCCACATAGATCCATGAAATCTGCCTCTCTCTGAATACTGACCACATCCTTTCCATGTAACCATCAACTCTTGAATGTTTCTTTCCTCTCCAGGCTTCCCAGCCACTGTATCTTGTCTTTTTGTATCCACTGCTGCATTCCTGTGCCCATGTACATGACTTCTCTCCCACCCTCCTTGCTTGCCTGCTACACACGTGCGCACATGCAACTCCTCCTAGATACTACAACGTCAGCAGGTTGCAGAACTATCCTTTCCACTGCCTGGGGTAGTTACTTTTGATTCCCTAATCTCCAGTTGTTTCTCTGTTTCTCAGAGATAGCCAGTTGAAGCAGACTTGTTGGCTTGCAAGTTCCCTCATAGCCCTGTCCTTCCCACATGTAGTTTTCTCTGCATGCTGCCTGCTTCATGATGGTTTCTCGCTTGGCTTACTATTTGTCCCTGAAGATGGAGGTGACATGTTTCTCAGAAGCATCTGTCAAGTTTCACCAGATTACATAGTGGTATATCCCAGAAGATGATACTCTTGTGGTGACTGCCCAGAGCACCTTGTCACTGTTTTACTCGAGATCACTGTTTTATAGAATGTAAATGAACATGTGGACCAAACAAAATTTATATTTTGATTTGTTGGACAGTGATAACATACATCACTCCAGCTAAGAATGTGAAATTTTGGTATGGCGGCCATGGTTGCAGTGTGTAAAATGCCTCCCCAGTGCATTATGTGTCCTCTTGTTTGCGGCCCTTCCTCCCCCCCAGTCTGACAGTACAATTCCTTGCTCATGAATAGGTTCCCAAGCTTCACCCTACCCACGGTAACCCTTAAGCTGCAAACAAGATCATGTAACTTACTGCATTATAAGATATAAAGCATACAAGAATACACTGTCTATACAACAACACTGTATTTTAAAAGAAAGAAGACACTACTGTATCAACATTTCTTTTTAATAAAGCTTTTATGGATGTGACATGTTTTGACCCTTATAATGGGCCATCATCAGGCGTACAATGTTCGGCTTTAACCTGCTGAACTGCATCCAGTTATCATTCAGTTCACTAAATAAGGATCCTTATTGTGTTTTGGACTTAATTCAAGTACATAAATATATATAAAATAAATCTTGGTCAAAATTTAACTGAATGTATTTAAATGATACAATTAAAATTAAATTAAGAATATGAGAAATTAAAAACCAGATGCCGAAGATTAAGATAAGAAAAGCTAAAAATTGTGTATTTTTGGTAGGACTCTGTGACCGTTACATGTTAACTTATTTTTGCCAGTGGAAGTGACTGTACCATAGGGTGCCTGCGTAAAGGAATCTTCTCATGTGGGATAGGTCATGACACTCCCTTAGTACTGTCTTGAGCTGAAGCTCATAATTCAGTGACGTGATGTGTATTAAGTTGTTCTATTCTTATGAGTGAATACATGCAAGCTGATCACTATGTCTCTGTGATATAGCGGTATATTTATGTATTTGAATTAAGTCCAAAACACAATAAGGATCCTTATTTAGTGAACTGAATGATAATTGGATGCAGTTCAGCAAGCTTAAAGCCGAACATTTTACACCTGATGATGGCCCAATATAAGGGTCAAAACATGTCGCATCCATAAAAGCTTTATTAAAAAGAAATGTTGATACAGTAGTGTCTTCTTTCTTTTAAAATACAGTGTTGTTGTATAGACAGTGTATTCTTGTATGCTTTATATCGTATTTGAGACATACAACAGGATGCAAACTATTAAGATTACTGCATTATGTTTATACTCATAAGTTAGGTTACAAATAATGCTTGGTGCCCATTAGACTTCAACATGTCTGTGCTGAGTGCTTACATAAAGCAACTTTGTTCTGACCGCACTGCTAGCAGCCATGTAATTCTGCTTCTTGGAGTTCCTGGAGAAAGGAAAAAGTAAAGCTATCCCTGTAACAGGCTGTGGAGGCCCAAAGAGTTGTGAGACATCAAGGCTATCACATCTTCTAGAGAGTTGGCTCGCAGATTGGCAGTGAGGTTGTCAGCCTTACACTCTGGCCACCCTTTACCCCCAGGAAGATTCTTGGTACTCATTTCTGTTAAAGGCTGAGTCATTAGATCAATTGAAAAATCCAGTGACCTTAGCAGGAATTGAACTCACAACCTTCTAGCTTGTAGCATAGTGCCTCAACCAACTATGCTATCGCATGTTCCATGGAGTTCCCGAAACATTTATATAATTACAGTGAAACCTGGTACAGTTAGTCTGCATTAAGAGTTACTGTGCATCCTCTTTCTGGGTGATTTCACCATGTAGAAGTAGGTTGTATTGCCAACGTCTCTGAGGTGCTTACCATCTCCATCTTAATGTCGAGTGACTAACTGCTGCCATCACTTGGAAATATTAATTCAGGCAGTTGTATGTATTGCCATTGTAATATGCTCATATCAAGCATCCAGTTGAGTTAGCTGTTCGTTTCGGACATTATTCTAGTGAACTAGTCTGTTGGGATATCTTCTTGTGACTGTTTGCAAAAGAAGAAACTTCCATATTCACATTCTGTAATACAATATGCGCCAAAAATACAGTACTGAAATGAAAAGCCGTCCTGTTGATACCACTGTCTATTCATGTGAAGGCCCCTTGCATGACAGAGCCTGCTCAAATCCTGAAGAAATGATCCAATCACCATGTCCCTGTGGCATTCTTGGGTGACAGTAAGAGCATTGCCTTCCTCATCGTCAATGAAATAGGGGCCTAATATACCGTGTGGTGAGACGGCACACCATATCATCACACGTGTACTATGTAGCGGTTTCTGGACGATAACATCTGGCCGCTCAAAACCAAGGAAGCGAGTTGTCTGGCGACCACTTCCGTATGAGCGGAAATAATAATCAACTATGAATACTTTTTCCTCTGTCGAGAGACTCATTTCCAACGACAGCTGCACAACACAGCTTCCATTTCACTACTGGGAACACCTGCGGCTGGAGCTATGCCCTGTCGACAAATGCACATGCGCGTTCGAAATGCCCGAGTTTCAGTACTGCATTTTTGGTGCATACTGTACATTGTCTTCAGTGAATAAATTAGTGAGGGGTGGACTAATGCAGCTTCTGCTTTGCAGTGCATTGTATCCCCTTGTAGTTAGGCCCATAACATTCCCACATTTTACTTAATAGGGTGTCAGAGTAATCTGTGGGTGATGTAATATCCCAGGTCACACTCTTAAATAAGCAAAGGTCACATTTGGGATGGAAGTCTGTTTCTTCTTGATACACAGACTTAACTGACTACACTTCATATCTCTACTTCAAAATATCAACATACATAGAGTATAAATAAAATATCAAAACAAAAGACTGTTCGCTGGTTCATGGCCTACCATATTTACTTCGTAATATCAAGTTCTATTGTGGAGTCCTGCCTTGTAATGTCCTCTGCATATACGTAGCCCACAGTACTTTATTCCCTTCTTAAGTATAGATAAGTTTACATTACATGGACTTTGGCCCAGCTATGATGGGCGACTGCCTTGAGTGTGCCTGCTGTTCTCTTATAGGTCTTTTTACAAAGAGATAATATTCTGGGCTATAATTTGTATAAGTAGTTACTATAGGATTCTGACGATGGTGTATAACACACAGAGATATTGGGTTTTCCCACTTTATCGATCATCCTGGCTTTTAAGATAACTAAGAAAAACACGACGTTTCGGAAACTGGATCTTTTTCCGTCCTCAGATGAGGGAAAACACCTATTCTGTTGGGTCCCTTAGAAGGAGCTAGCCTCAATCACTGGACGATTGAGGGTAGCTCTTTCTAAGGGGCCCAACAGAATAGGTGTTTTCCCTCACCTGAGGACGGAAACAGATCCAGTTTCCAAAACGTCGTGTTTTTCTTAGTTATCTTAAAAGCCAGGATGATGGATAAAGTCCGAAAACCCAATATCTCTATGTATAATTTGTATGTGTACAGTAAACAGTTGGATCAACCATCACTCCAGTCTCTGATGAAAGGAGACAAACAGTCTTTGAAATGTTGGAGATTTTCTGCATTATTATTATTATTATTATTATTGCTAGTGGGATGGGACTAAGTCCCTTGTACTGCGGCCACTTCTGGCCTACTGTACCAAAATTGTCTGCATACTGGCATGTTTGATCACTCAAAAAGTTTTCATTATTAAGCGACAGATGTTTACAAGTGTCATACCATTGCTACTATTACCACTACCTATCAGTCTGTCTTCATAAATCTATTTAGAGGGTTATATCTTCTGGGATAGAATGTCATATAGTCTGTTTAAAGTCAACCATTGTTTCAGAGGAACATGTTACCTCCACCTTTAGGTTAGAAGAATCGGCCAAGCAAGAAACCATTGTGAAAGCCAGTGACAAGCACAGCTTGCCACCTAGTTTCACGTTTTGTTTGCCACAAACATACACGCTGGTTTCTTGCTTGGGTGATATCGCACCGTGAAGACTGAGGTGAACTCTGAAACAAGTTGACATTCAACAGACTACAAGGCATTATATCCAAGGAGATACAACTCTTCATAATTACAATGTGAGAGCCTCAAATTCTACATAAACAAACATGTTCATGAACCAAGCCCTTATTGCTCGCTTATCCCACACTTACCTTCCTGTTGTTTACATCAAATTCTGCACTTTCCTATTCTGTAAAATTTTGGGATAAATTGTGTGAATTGTTTTCTCATGTAAGAATTTGAAACNTTATGTGAAGAGAAAATCTTAATTTTAAACATTTCACTCCAAAAATTGTGCTGTAGTAGCTTTGCTTTGCCCTGTATGGAGGCTGGTTAAAATGCCTCACTGTGAGTCATAGAAGGCAATGAAAAGGGAACCCAGTGCCTGGAGGTATATAATTGGGCCACCCTGTCACTGGGGGACATAAGTAAAGGGACCTGGTCCTCCAGGTTAGGGGTTGGATGCAAGGCTGTGATAACCTTGCCCTGTAAAAGAATATTGTCATAAAATCCAAAGAAACGGAAATGGATGCTTTGTGGCACAATCTTCTAAGGAAGGCTATGGCTCAAAAAAGGCAGTTTTGCCAATAATGACGATGATGAATATCCTTGCTTTACTCTTATCCAAGTGAATTTTATTTACAGGTTCGAAAAAATTTCTTCCCTCCACGGCCGCGTGGGAGAAAGAGAAAAAGGAGATCTTCAAATTCTGCCAAGAAACGACGCCTGACTACTTTATCAGACATCTGTGAAGAGAATGTGGTTTTGAAAAGTGGTGGTGATACTGCAGGGCCTTCAAATATCCGTACGGATAGTGGTTTAGGATCAAGTCAGGAGTTTTCATGCAGGACGGAACCTAAATGTGTAACTGATTCACAAAAAGTACCTGGGGTCCCTAGCAGTAGCAACTCTGACATATGTATGATGTGCTTGGTGAATCCAAAGAATGGTATATTTGTCCATGGCAAAATAGGTCATATATGTTGCTGTTATAAGTGTGCATTAAAAGTTTGGACAGGAGTTAGAAGGTGCCCTTGTTGCAATTGTAAGGTTAACAATGTGCTTAAGGCTATAGTGTTATGAAATTGAACTGAATTGCAACTTGCAGTTCACAACCATTTTTATTGGACACTGATTTTGAATTTGATTATTTGGCAGGTTTAATTTTATTATGGGAATGAAGTGATTTTATTTCCAGCTAATATAATCCAGATATGTTACTAGTAAAGAGACCAGCTACAGATTGGACATCCAGTTATCAGTTCCTGGTAAGGTCAGGAATTTTTGTCTTCACCACTGCTGTGTCCAAGACTGGCTCTGAGGCATGTCCGCTGGGTACCAATGGCTCTTCTTGAAGGTGAAGCATGAAGCTGGCTAACAGACACATTGTTCTAAAGTTAAGAATGCATTGAGCTATACCTCTACTGTATACATCTTCATAGTGTGGTGGTACTTAATTAAGCTCAGGGATAGCTTTACCTCATTCATGTCTCATTTTAACCAACTTATTCTGTTATTTCTTATGTGCGGTAAGCCTTGGAATTTATAGTTTCATGTTTTAAATGTGTTATCTTGTAATTCTTTGACTTTTTTATGCTTTGAAATACTGCTCAGTGCAGTAATGTGCATGCAATTTTTGCTCACCCTATCTTCCTTGCAAACCACACAACATCTTCTTTGACAGGTTACAGCAAGAAAATGGTGAGAAAGAGGAATACAATATCCCAACACTAAGTAAATATTACTAATGCCAGCTCCCACATATAATCAAATTGCATAGGTACATCATTATAATCAGTATAATACCAGGAGGTATGAGCTAGGATAGCACAGTCAGTATAGTGACTGGCTATGGGCTGGACGGCTGAGGGGTCAGGGTTCGATTCCTGGTAGGGTCAAAAATTTTCACTTCGCCACATAGTCCAGACTGGCTCTGGGGTCCACACAGCCTTCTGTCCAATGGATACCAGGGGCTCTTTCCCTGGCAGTAAAGTGGCAGGGACATTAAGCTAACCACTCCTGCAGCTAGTGCTTAGATCAAGAAAATGTGGATCTATACATCCACTCCCTCTTAATGTCTTCATGTCTTAGTGCTTAATTAGTTAAGCACAGGGACAACTTTACCTTTTAATAATACGAGGAAGTACTTCCCACTCCTATGTGCCAAATATTGGATTGAGTAGGTTAGCACAAGCCTGCATGGACAAACATTTGAGGGAAACCGGTACTATTTTAAAAACTGCAAAAGTCCGTTGAAATACCACTACATATCTCTGCTGCTCTATTTAAATACCACTGAACTACTATTACAAACTGGTTTGTTTGTTTGTTTGGGTTATTATTATTATTATTATTATTAAGATGCATAAAACAGAAGAAATGTTGCTTAGTGTGATGAAAATATGGTCTGAAAGTATCACAGACTGTTGCTAGTGAGATGTACAGCAAGTTGTGCCATACCATTTGCATTCTTTCAGCACAGTGCAGCCAAGCCCATGTCTTTGAATATATGTGCAGGTATATGAAGTATAGGCATTTCATTTCATAGGCTCCAAACTGTGTTTTCTTTTGAGCTGCTGGTGTTCATAAGTTCACCATGAGGTCACCACTGTAAAATGAAACAAATCAAAATGTAAATGATGAAGTCACTACATGTAAAGAAAACATGATAAGAGGACCACTGACTGTGCACATGCACTGGCAGATTGTTCTGTGCATAAAAAGGATTTTCCTAGTAGAAAGATAGGGTATTTGTTCTATAACTTTATTAAATATAAAACATTTCTGCTAGTTATGTACCTAATGGCATTTCTTCATTGTGGTATATGGCAAAATATTTGTTAGGGTGGTGTTCTGGCTTCCTTGGACACGTATCGCAATAAAACAACATTTCTGTCCTGCCTGCTCAGTCCGAGTTAGCATAAAACCTGCCTATGTACAGATGATATCCTTTTTCATGTGTTACATTTTGAACCTTGTGTTCTAGAACAATTCTGCTAGTAAATGTTTACTCTAGGTACATCAGACTTTTTGTAGTGACTGACCCATAATAGGTCAGGCCACAAACATACCCATTTGAGTAATCAACAGTTACATGTATGTGAAGTCCCCACTCTGTTGGCTTTTGTTGATTGTACATTTTCGAAATACCACAAACCTTGAAATTCGCAGATTATTCGTCTGCAGGTAAACACTGTGTTGAGTCATGAATATCGCAAAGATAACTGTAAAAGTCCCATCCTGGAAAATATGTCCTAGAACTGTGAAGAATCAAGTCAGTATTCAAAAATAAGGTCCTTGACAGAACATTTTGCATGTCTTGCGATGTTCAGTGTAATACCATGAAATACCATCAGCTCTTTGGTTGTGATATCTTCCCATGTGGCCCAAATAAGGGTTTTTCAAAGGCACAGCTTCGCTTATTTTCACACTTACCTGTCTGTTGGTTTCAGCAGTTATTTCTATCAGTAAAGTTGTACTAACAATGGTATAAAAGTTTGGAGAAACAGGCATTTGTCTGTTTCAAGGTGGTTTACAACCAAATGAGGCACATAATGGTATCTTACAAAAATCATGGTAATTTTGTCCCAGAGAACCCAATCTTCATTGTCATCATCACCGCCACCACAATCATCGATTATATTAACATCTACATCCTGTCTAATACCACTGAAAGAAACTGAGTTCTCACACAGTTGTTCACAGATCTGTATGCTGACCAGTGCATACCTACTGGTAGGAGCCATTGGGACATAATTGCTGAAGAAAAATTCCAGACACTTCAACAACGGCTATCTCAGCTGGCTTCATATTTCTGGCTTTCAACAGACGTGCCACAATACATAAATGTGGTGGACTGAGTTCGACATAGTACCGCAGAGTGCTAGAAAATATGCTACTAGCCAGCAATATAAATTAAAATTATAATAATGTAACAAGATATTGAGAATATATCTGCCAATAAATTATATATAGTAAAGAGTAGTAATGTTTATTGACCATGGATTTAACCAAAACTCTAACCATTACTCAAGTCAAATGTCAACTGTCTTTTAATTCTGAGTGAATATTTGGGCATTTCTACTTGCCAGAAACCTGAATAGTATTTCCATTATAAATCCCCAACTTTGGAAAGGAAAGCTAGTCACTTCTCTTCTGTTCTACCTTTATAAGTCAACAGTCTTACAAATTTTGTATCAAAACATTCCCCTACTCTACCATGTTTTTATTGTAGGATGAAACCTATTGCACTGATAGTATGTTTCACTTCCTTTTTTTAACTTAGTCTTTAAGACAAGAGAACATTTCATCAGTTAGCAGTCGCATGTTCACAGATCACAAGCTGGTTTATTTTCATTACTGTATAATTCACTGTTATAATTAAGAAAGTATTCCATCAAAATGTTCATTTACTTAAGTAGATTTTAAATATTCTAACACTGCAAGCAGAACCTGAAGCTTCACCACCACTTACACCAAAATCCACCATTGAACACCTCTCATCCTCAACATACTAGGGAAGAAGACGGTCCTAGCAGTCTTTGTGAATATGCTGAAAGTTACCTGACTGTACATTGTCTAGATTGCAGGGATGAAGAAAGAGGTTTCCAGTGCAGTTCTAAGCCATATTTTAATGTATATATATTTTCTGATGCTATTGAAGAGAGGATTCACATCCTATATCTATGACAGTGCAATATACCAAAGTAAACTCCCCATTGTCTGGCATGTATGGGGTATAGAGCACGCAGTTACATGAATGTACAAGGTTCATCAAATAAACTTAACAGAATCAAAGTCAAAACTTTTTTTTTTCTTAATTTCTGTCACGGAGTCTTCTTAAGTGACATATCAGATTGATGGGTGAAAGATTCCAGATGTACTATAAAGTGATAAGAAATTATCTTACCTCTGCTGTAATATGGGTCACCACTAGGCAACCTGCATGCAGGAGGGTTGTGGGCAGCACTGCTAATGGTAGGTGGCAGAACCAGCATGTGATCGATGAATATGTACGAGGGTCAGTCAAAAAGTTCCCGGAATGGTTGTACAGCACTAATGGTAGGACATAAACGCTTACCTAATCACCTTCAAAGTAGGACCCTTGCACGCGCACACACTTGCTCCATTGATCCTGCCATTGTTGGAAGCAGTGGTGGAAGACTTCTTTTGGAATCTTGCGGAGCTCAGCCGTCGCATTCGATTTGCTGTCCTCCATAGTTGGGAAACGTGTCCCCTTGAGGCCCATTTTCAGAGTAGGGAACAGCCAAAAGTCACTCAGAGCGAGATCCGGAGAGTATGGTGGTTGAGTGATGACAGAAATGTTTTTCTCAGTGAGGAATTGCTGCACAACAAGCGATGTGTGGCTCTGTGCATTATCATGATGCAGAAACCGCTGTCCCTGCCACTTGTCGCGCCGCTTCCTCCGAACCGCATCATGCAACCTCTGCAAAAGTTGTACGTACAAATGGCCAGCAACAGTACCAACCTCTTGCTCCAACTCTGCGATGGTCATTCTTCAATCACATCGAATCAGTTGTCGCACTTTCCAATCATTTCTTCAGTTCTGGATGTCGAAGGTCTCCTGCTGCGCTTGTCATTCCCTGACGTCTCCTGCTGCGCTTGTCATTCCCTGACGTCTCCTGCCCATTCTTAAACTGGGAAAACCAGTTGTAAACTGCTGATTTCCTTAGTGCAGTATCACCGTAAACTTGCTGCAGGGCCAATAGCATCTATGAAGCACATTTTCCCAATTTGCACATGAACTTGATGTTCGCACGCTGTTCGAACTGCGACATTGCGCCGAATGACCAACACTCACGTCTGATTCAAACAGAACAGTAATGACACTGCACACTGAAACCTGTCCAGACCTGTTGCGCCTGCGAGCAGACATGCTGAGCTTCCCACCACAACAGTGTGTGCACTATCTTATTGCTCGTTCTCCATCTGCAGGGGAATTCCGGGAACTTTTTGACTGACCTACGTACTTCACAACTTCATAAAAACAATAACTTCTCTCTGAAAATTTTCTTAGTTGCATGAGAATTCTGGATAATTGACAGTCTTCTGTATTTTCTTGCTGAACATGTTAGAAATTACAACAAAACGAAAAGGTACACTTTTATTTTGTTGGCTGTCGTGATAATGAAATTTCCTTCAAGTGGTAATTCATCTGACTTGATTCTGACTGAGGTTCATCATGGTTTTCCCCAGTCCCTCCAGGCAAATGATG